GTTCCTGTTCTGCTGTTCACAGGCGGTGTACTGTATGGTCAGATCAGAGCGGTCAAGGGTCAAAAGTTTCCAATTTAGCAAGAGGGCGCCATTCATGCCTTATTACAGAATTTGCACGCGTAAATCCAGGAGAACGCTATCTTGTGTTTATAAGATCTTTGCTGATAACTAATCAAGATAGAGGGCTCTGTTTTAGTCCTCCTGTCTTCATAGCACAGTTGAACATTGTATGCCTAACAATATACGGAATTTATGATCACTGCATTGGTGATTATTATTGATTGATACCTACCCTCTGGACCTTCGATTCTGCTCACATTATTCACTACTGTTGAATCATCTGCTGGTACATCTTGTACTATCAACTCAATCTCCTTCACATCTAAAACACATTCATATGAAGTAAAAAAAAAAAATATATATATAATAATTATAAAAATATAATAAAGAATATTGTCATATAATATTTACAGGTCTCCCTTTAATTAAGATCACTTTTAGAACGGAGTTTCTATGGTCTTTAGCAGCTTTGGTCTGTAATTAGAATAATGAAGATAACAGACATTTGTTAATTTGGGACCACAGAAAAGTGGTATGTAATTATTAGAAGAGGTTTTTAATTTGAGGGTCTTTAATTAGGAGATCTGTAGTGTAATAACATTAAGTAGTATAATTTATGAAACTCACTGTTTCCAGTTAAAGACAATACACAACATTATTCTTTCAAATTAAAACCAATAGTTTTTTAAAAACTAGAGGCAGCTCAATACCAAATCAATTATTATTATTTTTTTTTACTTAACATATTATTTGTTATTCTTATTTTTGCTATATAATACCAGTGGTCCGAAGAGGGGAGATGCCACTTATGGAAGATCTGGTTTGGTTAATATCTTTTTTTATACACTTTATTTAGAGAGGATTACTCTTCTAGCTTGTCCTGGAAGGTCAGCTTATATTCAGGTCTGCAGTTGAATAATTGAAATGGAATGATGCTTTTATAAAGTCTCATTATGAGGCTAAGGGAGTGGAGGTGAGTCACAAGATCTGAACCTAGGATGCTAGAATTAAAAGTCAAGTATCTTAAACATGAAGCTACACCTCTCACTCAAGGGAATTCTCAACGCACCTTCTTCTCACAATGGTCGTATTCGACCGATCGTTCTTCATTAAACCACGCCACCTGCGCAGTGGTAAAATATTACTTAACAAAGACGACCAGTCAACAAAAAAACTAGTAAATACTTGACAAAACAAAATGCCAGAGTTACCGTGATACACGCTGTGTAATTAGGTTGCTAAGGGTTTTTCGTAAAAAAAAATTTATCATTCAGTTTTTGAATTTGGTTAACCTACAATTATTTTTTGACTTCATGTGGCTAATTATTATAATTTTTATTTTCTGAAATTTAATCTAAATTATATTAACGCAAATGTTGTTGTTAAACCGACCAATCAGCCATGTTTGTTTTGGTCACATGGATAGCTAAATGATGATTAACGCACTCTGGTTTACGTTAATTTTTATTGTCAACAAAGTTTATACAAACCAGTCAAATGAAAATAATACTCAACAAAAAACCGTAGTCAACGAAATGAACCAGTCGAATAAGCCCAATGCTACTAATAGCTTTTGTATAAAAAAATTATGTGTATAATGAACATACCCTGGCCTGTTTTCTCGGCAATCTCTTTCTTATACTCCAGAATATCCTTCTCAGTCATCTTGTCAAAGGGGTTTGGCGTGTAGGACGTGTACAGCACCGCCTCCTGCTGGTAATCCCGTTGGATAATACCTTTGGATGCTGCTTTCACATTATCACTCGTTGGATTCCCTTGCTGATGGAATGAAATGAATGAAAGTTTAATGGAGGGCAATAATTTGCCTCAACCTTCTCAAATGCTGTTTATCTCCTCAGAATGAGTTATCTGTACACTTTGAAGAATAACACCCAAGATATTTATTCTGCACTACTAATGATAAAACATGTATACCTTAAAGTAAATGGACAATACAATGTTAGATTACAAACAAAAAGATGCATGTTAATTACAATTAAAATTGCATTAAGATATATAAACTTTCTTCAAAGAAAATAAATTCTTACAGAATTCTTATAGTAGTAAATCACAATATTATAACCTATTTTTTTTATATACTTAAGATCGATTATAAGCTGTAGCAGACTAATAGGAAGTAAGACACTTTTGCATCGCATTCAATTTATATTAATTATTATTATAAAATGAATGTAGCTGACAAACTTCGTTTTATATTTTTTCACCTAAACACTAATTGAAATTAAATTATCATTATCGTTTTTAATATAAGTAGTAAAACACCTTCGTGTAACAGGTTTTTTTTGTGTTACATTCAATCTTATTATTACAAAATAATTGTAGAGTACAAAATTCTTTTTTATACTACTTTTTACATACAGACTAATCAAATTTACTTAAAAAAGCAATGTAAGATATCATTATTATTACAATCATTTATTTAAGATATTCTACCGAAACAGGACATACAAGAGTGTAATTTCATCAGCCAATGCACTTAGTATTCCATCATCACGATAATGGAGATAATTCCGATAGCATATTGATGACTTAAACTGAGTTTAATTTCAACATACAATACAATGAACTGATCAACATATTGTAGATATTATTAGCTGAGATGAAATTACATATTAATATTGAGTAATAAATCATGTGATCGTTTTGTCTTGTAAATTTCTAAGGCACTTTCATACGGCACATAAATATATTCTGTTATGCTGGTGTAACACTGTCAGCAAAAACTGTAACTTAATCTTCTTAGCTATATGCCACATTGTTTTTTTTGTTTTTTTTAGTTTTTAAATTATGGCTGTTGTACAATTTGAAAGAAATGTTAGTGATACAAAAAAACATATGACATAATACATAAAGCAGACAACATTATCTTACCCACCACCAAAACAAAAGGGATCCAAGTGCTCAACAATCGTGAAATTAATACTGTAATGAATACCACAAGCTATTTCAGATCCTTGGAATAAAACAACTGTTTGTATTTTTTTAAGGGGATACCAATAACAATAGTCTAAAAAAATTACTGTGTATCATAACATTATTATTTGTATTTCAAATTGACATCTATATTGATTTTGAAATCTATTTCTAATTGCAGTGTTGAAGGTTATCATGCTGGAGCAGCCCCCACTCGAAGGAATATTTATACAAACTGATATTGCCCTTAAAAATGAAGATAATTCCTTTACAAATGGACAGAGCACTAGCATGGTGGAAAGATAGGAGAGAGACAGAGACAGCATGAGGGACAAAGATCAACATAAACCTGTACAATTCAGAGTAAAAAACTACCTGCTGTAACATATACAAAATTCAAAGCAACAGAGTTTATTATTTGAGATGTTGAATCATTCCTATAAATGTTTAATATGGACATGTTTCCTTGAAATGCATAGTTTCTGTAAAACATGCTATTAAAGTATATGAACACCAACTATACATACATTAAATAATCTTAGTGGAAAAAATAAACACAGAAGAGAGCATTTGCAAAGAAGGGATACAGTGAAGGAGCGAACTAGTATATTGTAATTTTTGTGATTTGTATGTTGTTAAATATAGCAAAAAATTTATGAAAAGAAATATTGTTTCAGTATTTAAATTTGATGCATCTGGTGGAAATTGACAGCAAAACTGATCACTTACCAAAACCAAAAATGTAAATGAAATAATTATTTTGGAAGAAAACATATATGCAACATACAAAAAGTGGTGATGTGCTTTGCTTGAGTATTACCATATTTAGTCAACTGAAACATAAAATCTGATATTCATCACGGTACAACAGGGATACAACACTGAGGGTGTAACGTGTGGTGATGAAACACAAATGTATATGTGGTATACAACATAGATTGTTACATATGATATACCTTACGGTCATCCTCAAGACGATCCGAGGAGTTGGATAACGGTGCATCACTAGAAAACTACGAGAAAGTACAAATGCACAAACGAAAAGATCAATCTACGGGTTTAGCATGTGGTTTGTGATGGGAACAACGTGAACAAACACCGTGGATTACATGTCAAACTTTACATTTTTAACGATTATACTATCATAGCAAACAGGCTTTAATATAAAAATGACACATAATTCATGTGACTTATTTTGTATGCCACTGCACTTGGTAAATAAGTCACATTTCGTTAAGTACAATTTCACGTAATTCACAGAAATTTAGTGTTAAAATCTGATATAGCAAATGGCTTTATAAGAAATATAATCTAAATTCTAATGAAAATATATATGAGCATTAGTTAAAACACTTACAAATTTGAAATTATAAATAATTTGTTGGTCAATAGCTAATCTCAAATTACCAAACTATTTTATATGAAATTATAAACAATACAGTTACTGTAAGATGATTCACAAAACAATGGTACATTATCATACTGTTATAATCAAACATGCAATCCAAAATTTAATATGTTAATGTCTGTATATACCATGTCTTGATGTTATGCATGGATGTCAAGGTCAAAAATATTCATGTTGTAATGTTCTTACAGATGTGAGCAGATATATCAGTAATAAAACTATTTATCTTGTAATGTCTTACACTATACGAGTGGCTATATAACTGTCCACACATTATTAATACTGTAATTGTTCAATTACACAGTTGTTGGTTTGCATAGCATAGTAATCCATGCTGTAATAATTGTAAGGATTAAAACACCTGTAAAATTCAGACGCCATTCAGAATTAAAAAGAGATTCAAGAATTATCTGAAAATTGATTATTGAGTCAGATTTTAGAAATTTTGTGCTTGACAAAATGATAAAAGTTATTGAGTGACTATTAAATGCAAAATTGTATTAATAGTTCAAATGATCACAACTCTGGTTTGAGATATTAGAGAGCTTTCAATTGGGCAATGATGTAAAATAGATTCACTTGTATGTGACTGTCCTAATGTGTTTTGCATTATGCTGACTTGGACTAAATTAAAATTCTATGGCATTGCGTTATCGAAAACTCCGTATTAAAACCAACAAGAAACTGTGCATATATCAAAATAACATGTTAAAAAATGTAGATAGCAATTATCACACATCATTCTCTATGGTAACCGATTCATAATCAGTCAATTTTATTGTCAAAATCATACTGATTTAATTACAGCATCATAAATTTAGTAGTTACCCACAAGGCAAATTTAATAGTATAAAGTGTGAGGGTAAATTCTTGGAAAACCCCAAACACAAAATAGTAGGGGTTGCTAAATTAATGAATTTGATCTAGTTTTGTTTGATAATTATGCTTCAGTTTATGTATTTATTTCAACAATTTTGAGTGTAACCTTTCCAGCTAGGCTGATATCCAGGGGCACTCTACAATATCAGTATGCTGCTACACCATGTAGGCAATATCATGTGCAAAATACTATACTTTTTTTAAAGACAAATTTTGTATATACAAATATAAACTAAACAGAATCAGTTACCATGAATGTTTATTTTTGCTTATGAATATTTAAAATCAATAACAATGGAATATGTGCTAACCTGTGGTGGTTTTTGCCAGGTTACCCCAGACAACACCTCTGATATTGGACCAGCAGTCTTCTTGTCATCATAGAAATCATTCTTCAACTAATTAGGAAGGAAAATAATAATTATTCAATAATAATATATTCATTAAAAAATTAAATAATTTATTCATTTTGAGAATGAGAAGCAAAAATAAACATTTTATTTCACCGTGGATACTGGTGCTTTTTTTTTATTTATTTTTTTTATAAATAACTGTTGATTGATTTACAATGAATGATTCCTCTAAGCCTCCCCTAAAAAAATTGTTGCTAAGGATCCATAAAACTGACAATTAGTTGAGAAACATGGCTGAGTACGTGTGTGAGACTATAAATTAAAATGTCTGTGTTTGTTGGACAAATTTTCTGCTCCCCTCCTTTAATAACACATTCTAATTGGTCAGTTGTTAAACTTGATTGATATTATAGAAAGGTCCTTAGTAACACCATGATAATAAAGCTGGCAAATGATGAGCATTGTTATGTTAATGTCAACATCAACGAATATGATAATAATGCAATTAAAATTGGTGGTGAAAATAGAAAAATAAAAGTATGAAAATAAAAACCACATATAAATGTGATATTATCATTACAACGATTTGTATTACCTCTCGTCTCTTGTTCTTAAATTCCTTAGGGTTATCACCTTGCTTGGCAAATTGTTGCGGATCCTGAATAACTATTGAATCACCACCAGTTCCATCTTCAGATGTAATCCACTATGATAAAGAAAAATTATTTAATAAATATATTAATTACTAATAAAAAATAGTTGAAGTTGTATGTATTCACATTTGTAACGTTACATTACAGTCTTATGGTAAGTCAGTGCTTCATAACAGCCTATCAAAGGATAGAAAATATCAGGCTGTTTTCATTTTTGTGTTTGACTGCTACTTTAATATCCTAATGTGTAAAAGTGCTTTAGCAAGTCGGTCAGGTTTCATATCTTTAATAATGATGTGCAACATTGACTAAATCCTTTCATGCATAATTCAAAATTTTAAATTAGGTTATAATTTATTAATTCAAATCTATGAATAAAGTTTATGATCCATATTCAGTGACTCTTCATAAATTGGTCATTAAAAGTATGTAATTACATTTAATGTTGTATTGTGGGAGGAAAAGTCTATTACAAAAATAGGGTTGTTTTAAAGGCAGGATACTATGCATGAATATTACAACCTTTTATATATGGGAATTATATTAACTATCTGGAAAATACCGAATATTATTGCTAGATTACAACATGCAACATATTATTCATAGACAAGACAAAATTATGCAAAAAAAGCAAATGTCAGCTAGCATCCTACAGGCTTGTTTGAATGACATAATTTCCCACTTGATGGATTGAATTACTGTGTATGAAATATCACCTACATAAATACTTTAATTAAAAAAACATCTCAATTAAGTTATTATTAAGTTGAGACAGTAGCAACTAATACAATTGTCGTTTACTAATCAGTCTGGTATCGCACTTAATTTAATAAACCATGTTACATAAAAGCAAAGAGCTGGGAAGAAACAGACACAAGCTTCATGACCATAATAAAATTTTACAAAAAGAATTATACAGAATAATAAAATGTTACAACATGTGTACTACCTGTATATATAATTCTAGATACTTATGTCATGCTATTAAGTTTAATGTAACAAATCTGTGTTTTTTTTGCCCATATACAGGTTTGAAAATGTCATACCAAATATCACTTCTGGAAAATTTGCAGTTACTTTTAAGCTTTGAACTAACTTTCAAGTAAAAAGTACATTATGCCCTGTTGCCACTTGTCTGAAGTAAAGTGCACATATATTTGCATGCCTGTTGTAAATTTCCTTCAGGCTTAAGACCATCTGACGTGGCTCTAGTGTGGACAGGTAGTTACAAGGTGTTACAATTTTGTTTGCATTTCTTTATATGCCTTCGTATAATAATAATAGTTAATGGTTTTAAATTTATATAGCGCAAAATACAAAAGTCTCTATGTGTTGTAAACACAAGTGTAGAGATGTTTGGAAATGGGAAAGAAAAAAAATTAAAGATGAAAATTACTATGTGAGTTACTACCAGCAGATTGCTAGCTATGTAAAAAAAACATTTTTTAAAGATTTAAATCTTACTTTGGTTTTTGTCTTTGGACTTGAATCGCCATCCTCCTGTATTGTCACCTCCATTTTGGTGTACTGGTTTGGTGTGTTCAGCCATTTTGTCTTCTCCTTCTGTTGCCGTTTATTTGCCAGCTTCAGCGGAGATATGTACTTGCTACCATCAATATCGTCGTCGTACACATAAGTGAAGTTTGTGGAGATGGGCGGGTGGGCAACTTCGCTGCGAGGTTTCGGCTCATGTTGCACCACAGGTTGATGATAAATATAACCAGTCTTGTAGCCCTAAGTAAAAGTGTATTGTAGCGATTTGTAGTTCAAATGCTCATGTCTATGTCAAAGGTCAAATGACAGATTTTTTTAGCTCAATATTCAATAACTGTGAATTAATAAACTCTATATTATGCAGAAGTACACATGATTTATTTGCTGTTATGACTTAAAATTTTACACAAAAATATACACTTGAATACGAAATGGCATATTGGGAAGAAAGGAAAAGGATTTTATGTTAAATATGAATATTGATCTGTTTCTCAGTGACTTCCAATATCAATCATCAAAGCAATGGACACTGGATACACAAACAAACATTAGAATGGCAAATCTCGAATTAGCACCTGTAAAATTAGGTCAGAGGTCATAGTTTACTATCTAATCATATTTATCGATTGATTATTAATTAATTGAATCACTTCCGAACACATGCACAAGTATATCCCGTTACATTTTCAACGATGTGCATTTGTAAGTTATTGTTCTGGTACCAGACAGGTTGACGGTAAGTGAGCTGTTAGCAACATCGATTAAGGAAACATTAAGATGCTTCCATCAACTGTTTGTAAAGAACTGGGTTATATTCTTAAAAGGTTGCGATTTTTTTAAACATTCATCATTAAAGATGTACAGTCCCCTGAAACAAAAATCAATTTGTGAATAACTTGCTCATTATTGAACTAACTTGAAATAGTTGCTCGGAAAAGGAAAACAAATGCAAAAGTCAGTACAACGCTTACCATGTTGTCTAACTGACGCATCATTGCCTCAAATTCAAGTTCTCCAATCTTCCACTTCTTGCCTTCGCTATCGTTGCCTTTTAAAGCAAACTCGTGCGTCTTCTTCCGTAATTCATCTGGCAGAAGGACCAAGTTGTCAACACCAACAGCCATAGATTTTACCTATAATTAGCGTAGAAAACATCTAAGGTAAATAATAGAAGTAACATAATCAGATTTAGGATCTTGAAACCAGTCACTGTAGTATCCACTGAATTTTCTATCTCCATCCTTTCTTTCTACGATAAATGTGAAATTTTATTGAACTTCTTGAAAAATGTTATTTTTTCATCAGGGATTAATTGATCATAACAATGACAACTGCAACAAACAACACAACAACCTACAACATCATCATCAACAATAACAGCAACAACAATAGCAGTAGCAAAAACAATGCCACCACCACAACAAATTTTATTTAATTTCTTTGATCATAAACACAACCCAACAATAACGACAACAAAATCAATGTATTAACTATTATAATACATCAGACAACTTTGTGTTGCAAAAAATGTGGAGAACAAATTTTAGCATTGAACAGATGATGCACATTTGTAGGGAAATCTTGAATGTTATTTGACTATTGTGGAAACATAGCAGCTAGGAGCTTGTTTACAAGATGTGATTAGTACTTGATAATATTATTACATGGAGTATATGAGTCATCCAGAGACTTTATTGCTACTTAACATTCCCACCAATAGATGCCACAAATCCCAGGATGTGCATGAATTCCATACTGTCAAACACCAACTAGATCACATTTCAGATTCCAATGATGTATCAGAAGTCATGTGAGGGAACCTGGATGTCCCAATTCCAGGTGGACTTGGAAACTGAAGTTTATGGTTTCCAGGGGTTTTCCCAGGGTGTGACCGGAACTACAGACTGGTGCAGCATAAATCAGTGTTCAGTTGTAGAACCAATTGAAGTAGATTGTTACATGCACACATTAGTTCACTTGAAAAACTTTCAACAAGTATATTTGTTATAAATTTCAAAACTAAATGCAGAATCTTTCAAACCTGGTCTATGGCCTGTGACCTGTCTCCAAAGAAAATGTTCTTAATCACTTGGTAAAATAAGGTCATAGGTTAAAGTGTCAAAAACAAACAATAGTGTTCTCATATTAAACGATATTGTGCTATGAATTAAAATGTGGAGATAACAAGAATCTATAAAGAGGCTCCCCATAGATACCTGATGAAACTGAATACAAGAGATGTACTTTAAAGGGTCAAATGTCATAATGGCAGCTGCTAATGTTCATATCGTAAGTGATATTCACATTTTGTTTCATGAACTTTGAAATATTCAATTTTCAACATTAAAATATTTAAAATATAATCAAGTTTTCTACTGTATGCGGTTTTATAATTTTCTCTTCACTATGATATATAGAAGTAAAATTTTTATTTGGGGTGGAAAATCAGGATTAGGAAAAAACTTATTTTTCAGTGCCACTTATTAAAACAATAACTACAATTTGAAAAAAATGAAATACATCTGAAAAAAAATATTTTTATAATATTTGAATGCTTGAAATATTACATAAAATTCTGCTGTCTTTTGAAGGCAACTTAATGTCAATTTAAGATGAGATAGCATAGTAAGCCGAAAGTAAGACTGAAGGAGCAGCATACTTGTGGTAAGCCATGGATAGTGGCGTAGTGCCTGTGAAGACGCACTTTGTATTAAAATACTTAACGAGCTTACTTCAAATGATTATTCATAAGAATCAAGAGGAGTTATGTGCTCCATGCACATACCTAACCAAAGTGCATACCTACCAACATTCGAATATCAAAAATAGGGACGCTATTCATTGGTGCCAATAAGAATTAAAACAATATTTTGTTAACGGGGAGAATGCCAGCAATTACAAATAATTTGGTTTTTATCGAAGGTAAATTTAGCTAGGCTCTAGCATGGGGACCACACTGCTAAACTGTCAGTCTGTGGCCACCGCCAATTTATAGGTGCTCAATGGCCGAGTATAGCTAGGCCTAAGTAGTAGAAACTGACACCAGATCTAGTTTAAAAATTGTTCAATTTACGAATACCTTTTGGTACCAAGGGGTACGTAATATGGACGCTTAATTACTGTACTTACAAATAAAATCTCTGTGGATTTTTTTTAGCAATGTGAAACTGTCATTTTTGGGCTTTAGGTAGCCAGGTTTTTCTCTCATAATATTTTCCCGTAACAAAATTATACTAAATATGACAATACAATGTGATAAATACTGATTATCAAAAACATAAAAATAAAAAAGTGTAAATAAGAACATAATTATTATGATGTTTTAAGTCAAAAATTCTCATCAAAATCCCATTGGACTATCATTATTTCTGGTTACATCAAACAAAATCCAACCGGATTAGCAACCAATAGGAATTGGATTAGCACTTAATCTCGCCAGCTAAAGCTGCAACACTCATTAATCCTGAATGCACTATCTGAATTTGAGATAATTTTTAAATGTTATACATACAACCTTTTAATATGTTTTTTTTTACATTTTTTAAACAATTTTTTTTATTGAGGCATTACTTAGAGTCACCCTTGTATATACTTGATTGGTTTTCTTTTATATTGTTACATTGTTATTTTTGTTATACATTCTATTGGTACTCAATTAAAAGTAAGCTAGCCTTACAGGTAATCCCTATAGTAATAATGTTTATGTATTTACTGTCATTAAATACACTTTACATTTGTGATGAGTACCTAATAAATCAAATCAAATTAATATCAATTGGTTATATAAATAGAATGTGTCAAAAATAATCATAAGTGTCCGTACCTGTATTTCACAAGCTGCCATAACTGTGAATAGGTTGAAGTACGCCTCTTCAATAGTAGCTCCGCAACAGAGCACACCATGGTTACGCATAAACATGACCTAAAATGGCAGATAAGAAGTACAGCATTTTTCATAAAGAACTAAGAAATGTTTTATATAAACTACCATGCACATTTTCAATTTCTACAAATGGGCAGAGCAGTCAAGATACATGTTGGGTAATAAGGTTTACCCTAATGTTTAAGTCATTCAACAAATAGTCCCTATTATGAATAATTAATCATGTATTTAATGCAGTGCTTGTTATTTCAAAATGGCAGGTAAACTATACTTAACTTTAAATTATAGATAAGTGATTTTGGTAGACAAAAGGAAAGAGTGAGAATGAGGGAATTAGCTTTCTATTTGGAATGGCTGTTAAAGGATAATTGTATAGTTATCAACATGGCATTGAAGTTTTTTAACAAAACACAATCCTGACAGAAAATCCAATCAATTTTGCATATTTTTGTAAACTTAAGCAGATTCGTTCTTGTGAAAAGGAACAGAAGAAATGCAGGCATATGTAGTTTTTTTTTTTTTTTTACTCTAGATTGTAGGTGAACAATTTTCAAATGCAAAGTGTTGTTTTCTTCACATCTCTGAAGAGGGGTTTAGCGGTGTGCAATGTTGTATGACGTATTGCCTATAATTTAAATGAGATTTTAATCTGTGATTCAAATTTATGACACCCATTTTTTCTCAGCTTAAAAACACCTCCACTGTTAATTCTCATAAATGAAACACTTTAGAAAAGCATCACAGTTATTTAATCGACACGTGTTTTCTGATAGATGTGAGGAAAATACAAATGAAAATTATGAGATATTTAAAACAATTTAAAAATATAAATATATACTCTATCTGGATAGGTATCTACCAACAGTGGAAATGGAATTTTTAAGGGTCTTTCCTAGTGCTTTAAAAATCCAAAACATTTAAGCAACAGGGCACTTTGTGTATAAATTACCCTGGTTTATATACAAGATTCATTATATAATTGAATATACTTATTTTCAGAAATATCTTATTATTGAAATCAGAGATAAAGGCAGCATCAAATTTACTAACACGGTATGATAATCAGATCCGATAAGTGCTAATGCGTATGAAGCTATGGGAACGACCCGGACAATTTATTTGCTAGTTTTACCAGATGGTTTACTAAATATCTCAGCTACGCCTCAACATTTCAAAGCGAGTCAGTTAAAGCTGCTGAAAGAATATTAGATTGAATCGATATCATTCTCTCTATGATACAAAAAAAAATATATATAAACTGAAACAGCCAATACACATTAGATCTACATCCATCAGCCAATTTTTGATGTATTATCAGTGGCATAAAATGTCTTGTTGACAACCATTCTTATTAAAAAATATTTCTCCTTATGTTCAATCTTTCCTGTCAGACCTAAAAGATTCATAATTTCTGTCTTCTCCCCATCCACCTTCCTACTGTCCTATATCTAGTTATTTAATAAAACTAAAACTGAATTGAATTCATCTTGTTATTGTGGATTTCAAGGTTTTATAGTTGTGCAATGTCGGTGGCAACAAGGGTACAGGAGAGAGGGGGTGCTGGACTACTGTCAGTTGACACTGGACACCATCGGAGAAGAACCAATTATTTCATCGGGAAATTACTTTCAAAAGCATTTTTACCCCCCAAGTCATTTACAGTTGTCAATTCATCGTCAGGAATCTTGTACCTCTCAATGCATTGGGGACCTTATATCCCCCCCCCCCTTCAGAACATTGGACCCCTTGTCAGGAATCTCTAGCGCCACCTGGGAAGCTTGGATTGGGCTGTGGATATTACATACTGTGGGTTTACCATTTGGATGTGTTATGTTAGTGTATTGTACCTGCAAAGAAAGGCAACCATATAAATAATTAAATAATAGATTAGAATAGAGCTTTGAATTTAGCACTGTATGGTTTTCAAAGCCAGTTTTCTGTATTTTCCAATCCTTGTGCATGCGCTGGAATGGGTATTATGATTCTCATTCTAAAAGTTTGCACTATCTTTAATTCACCTGATCCTTGATCCTGATAACATTCAAGCCTTGTAAACGTAAGAATACTGTCATCAATAGATGTCTATACAACTTCCATTGTAGCTATCATTAGTTAGCAATTCTTAAGCCTCCAGGCTATAATATATTAGTTTTTGTATGATGATAACACCTGGCATTAACCTAGAATAATATACTCAATCATTACCTACTTTCCTTGCATTTAATTTTTACCTAAGGACATTAGGTACCTGAATATCCCACAAGCAGTTGGGCCCTAGATATTTAGAAATTGTGGTTAAAACTCTAAGGTTGCATAAAAGTACTATTAAACTGCCTGCAGCATTAGTTATATAAATGTTTATTAGAACATATTAGTCTGCAAATATGATCAATCCCTTGCATAGAATCTTTTTTTGTTAATAGTTCTTATGTAAAAGCTGCAGTTTACTGACTACCTAAAAAGTAGGCATACTCTATTTTTGAGTGCATTGTAATTCACATGGTAAGAAGAAATAATGATCAAACTTTTCAAAGGTGAAATGTCTTTCCTAATAATGAAAGAATTGCCAATTGTACTTGCTTTAAAACTGATTTGGTTATAATAATAGAGATAAGGCTTCACTATCATGGATGAACTTTCCTAGAACTAAGTGTTAAGATAGAAGTGTTTTCTCATTGATGAATTGAGCCATCAGACTAGATGTGCATCAACTGCAATAATTATGTTTACAATATATACAAACAGTAGATCGTGCTGTACACGCTGAATGGAGTATTTAGAGTTTTTGATTGGCTATCACCTTGGTTTACAATTAGACATTTTTATACCTGCCAAAAGTCGTTGTATTTTTCTATCCACACACATTTCTCTCACCAACTTATGATTAGAAAATGAATCATTAAACCACTGAATAGCAACTGCAGTGGCAGATCCAGGAACTAAGAATAGAGGGGGCCTCCAAGGAGGGACCTTTCAGATAGACATGATTATGGCAATTCTAGATGGCTGGGAATGGCACTCTCAGAGTTAAATTTGAATATAATTTTTTTTATTTTCTCAATGTTTTTAATAATTTTGGGACCTGAATGGTCACAAATGCTGGAAGTGGGTACCAAAAAACTTACCTTGTTGTTAGGGCCAAGTGATCTGATAATTTTATCTTTATCTTCCTCTTCTACCATGATTCCCGTATAGTCCAAATAGGAGACATCACCTACTAGCAGTGATTCTTGTGAAATAGGTAATAAGCCACATTTCATTGATGACACCTAATAAAACAATAAATTCAATGGGTTCATTTTGTGAGGGTAAAAAGAGAAATAAAAAAGATCATTAAAGATTTAGACTGAATGCACATTTTTCCCCATATTAATGGCCAAAGTTAAGTTTCTGATATTGTAGAACAGACAGGCAAAGTGCAGTCTGCTGGCAACACAAAAATAAATGCAATACCATGTGTTTGGTCAGCCTAGAAGCTTTGGCGAGAAAATGTCTTGTTGTTACAGACCGAAACTGATTAACTATAAAAAGTATATTATTAATTTTTTTTTTAATGAAAAAATATCTTTTATTAATAATAACACTAAGCATAAAGCAGAATAAAAGCAGTGTAGCCCTCTGTCAAATTAAATATTCACTTAGACCCTCTGACCCTTATTTATGCTCACCCCTGCCATAGAATATGGCAATATTGGTATGTAGGTCAAGTTATCTTTATCAGTTATTTCTACTGACTTTATTTGTATGATTTATGTTGTTGATGTAGTCATCATTCACTCAGGTGTCCAATTGTCTGGGTTCATTTGGCTGAGAAAGTGCTGGCAAAGAATTTTTGGGTTGTTAATCAACTAAATAATAACAAATCAGCTCATAGTCCGGGTCATAAAAACATAAGAGCGTTGATTTCCTTTCAGTGAGGTGTGCAGAATGATTCATTTGGGAATACTATGAGCAAAGGAGGAAGTTTAAAAACAGGTTTCACTTTAACCAGGGCGACAGCTCATTTGAGTAAACTCAAAGGGGAGTATGCATGTTTTCTCGTAATACGATGGTAGATTTGCTACTTTAGCTACAACTCACTCCCAAGTTTAAAGTCAGGCTCCGGAGGAGAATTTTTTTTTATATGATTTTTCTAAGACACAAAAAGCATATTCGATGAGAAACTCGGGAAAGGTTAATGAAGATACAGTATATATTTTTTGAATATATAAAACTGGAGGAAAAAGGTGAAAAGAAGAGTGGCGAAAAATTGAACATAAAAAAAAAATCTAAACTTACTGCTGCAGCGGTTGGCGTATGAACATGAATAACACACTTAATATCTGGGCGGGCAGCATGGATCGCCGAGTGAATTGTAAATCCAGCCAGGTTGGGGCCATAGGTTGTGGTTCCTGGGTCGATGATGTTACCAACATTATCGATTTTGATGAGCGAAGATGCAGAAATCTCATGGTACATCAAACCAAATGGATTAATGAGGAAGTGATTCTGGTCGTGAGATACTCTTACCTGTAAAAATAAAATAAATACATATTTTTAAACAGAAATATTAACACAACATCACATGATAGAGAAAAAACTATCTTACCAGATGCAAATATTTAGTATATTTTTAAGGGAAACTCAACATGAATTATCGTTGGGGCTTATCTTGTCATCTGGACGACGTAAGATTGTCCTCAATGCAGTCTTACAATAACCCACCACGTTCGTGATTAACTCACATTGACCCAAAGCGACAATGAATGTTCTGCGTCATATGCAAATTAACAACAAAAAATATTGTATTATAGAACTGGGGGCCCAAGGTTCTCCACATCCCCTTGTTGGTGCCACTCTCTGCTTATGACAAACATATGTCCTGATCATTAATGTTTTGTACTTGTGCTAATTTTAGTCTTTTACGACCCAGACCAAGAATAGATAAAACATTTGTTTAAGGACTTTGATTCTCCTATATGTTGAGCTCCAAACATGGATAAAGTAATTATATCATTTTGTTTCAGATTTATGATTGATGACTAATACAGGCCATGGCCATGTACAAAACATTTTTCACAAGTTTAATACCAAAATAGACATTTTCACATGAATCATTTTGGAATGAGTTCAGATAGTAAAAATATTGGGACCCTGTTTAAGATAAGGCCAAAATGTTTTATGACCATAAAATGTTATAATATTTTATAAATGTAATGCAGCCTATGACCTCGTTAATACAGTATATCATGTAGTAAAAGAAGTAATAATTCAAGTCTGCTTAAAAAAAAAAAACCTAAAAAGTTATTCAATGACATCCCACAATAAACTTAAAGAAAAAAAAAGTTTGTATACTGTATTTAAATAAGTTAAGAGCTTTAAACTTAAAAAAACAAAAACAAAAAAAATATTTTGTTCGACAATAAACTGACCTTAAAATAATCCAATTTCTTTGCACAGTGCCCTTAATTTCTACAGTAAATTTAGGATGCTGTAATATTACAATTTTAATTCCAAATATGGTAATCTTGTTTACATTCCTCATATAATATGATAATATCATAAAGAGCAGACACTATATTGTGATACCAGCATTTGAGTAATTTAAAGTCAACAACTGCTGGAATGTAAAAGCACTAGCATCATTGTGAATCATGGCCTGTTTGTCTCCATACATAATATCAACACATTCAAACTAACAGTTCCACATTTTGACTAATACGATTTGGCTGTGCATAATGAAGAATATTTAGTATCTATCTCGTGAATTTAGGTTAAGAGAATGGGAGAAAGCTGTGTAACAGGGGGTGGGGATCATATAATTTCTGGGACCTAGGGGTAAAGCTTTGATGGGGGTCTATAAGCAGAGAGGCCTCTTGACACACATGGACAACTTTTCAAAGTTCTGAGATGTCAATGGAATTATTTTTTGTATCTGACAGTGCTTGGCCTGTCTGAAGAGGAGATTAATTTCTCGAATTATTGCAACCACTTTAAATAGCCAATCAGACGGTAAAGCTTGGGATGTTTACATTTTTATCATGACTACGCATAGAAAAATAAATTTAAGTTCAATGAAATATCTACATATTGGACTGGCACTATATTTCAGTTTGAATTAGGTCATGGTAAGCAGTTCATCCATATGCTAAGCTAGTGAAGTCTTGAACAGTAATTTACACAGTGATGATGTCAGCCTACTTCACCAGCATCATTAGTCTAACAATTTATAACATCAATTCTTCAGCAGGGTTACCACCATACCTACTGCCCTGGCTTACCCCCCTCCCATTGAAGTGATCGACCTCCTTAGATATAATATATTCCTCTCAAGTTTGGTTTGACTCAAAGACCTTCTAAAAATACACAGTTAAGGGTGGTATGACATATACTGTAGCTAGTGACTACAGTAGCTCATCCCTAATATCTTGGGGCAGTTCATCACAAAATCTTAGAAAACAATTAAGAGTATTTTAGTGTGTACGTTAGTAATTGTGCTTAAAAACAAATTTGTGCTTGAAAATAAGGTGTTCAATAATTTATGGCTGGGACTGCTTGTAAAACAGTAGCTAAGAAATATCTGAGATGTGAAAATGGTAGTAAAGGCATTTGGAGATGAAAGAGATACTGTATTGCAAGAAAATTGTTATAGATGCAAGCTGGAGGCATTTTACAGTAGTTGTTGAGGTGGGATTGTTAATGCATGTTTGTTGCTTTTGAGTAACATTAAAGAAATGGCTTCGTGAGCCTGCACTGTACATGCTCCAGGCCATAGTCAAATAGTCTGTTGCTGAGCTATATTTCTTACAAAAAATTCTGACAGGTTGTCCTGTTTTAAGTGGAATTCAACTTGCTCACAAATTGATATGCAAATTTGTAGATATTTAAAGCAAAATTTAATCATTATCCTACGATATGATTCTTATAGAATAAGTATGCTTGATTAATCAACTAATTAAAGTTAAAGTAAATATATACAAAGAATCTATATTAAGTACTCTTTGGTGTTAGTTTTGGTTCATGTTTGATTATTGATTGTTTTTGCTTTGCATGCCAGTAAGGAGGTTGGATTTGCTATGGACTTATGGACCCTCATAAATAATATAATAAACAAGAACTACCCTATCAGAGTGCTTTTTAAAATTAAGTTTAAATGTCATTGTATTTATTATTTTTATATATTTATGTTTTTATCAGATATTTATATTACGATATTATTTATTATTTTCATTTTATTATATTATTTTCTAAATATCTATTTTTTCCAGAATATATAAATTTTTTTCCAGAAGGCATAAATTTCGAAGACAAAAGCAACCTTCCTGAATACCCAGATAAAAAAATATCAATTTCAAAAAGATAATTGTAACATTAAAGCTAGATTAAGCTTAAATTGTACAAGAAATTTACAATTAATGCTAACTTAATGTGACGTATTGTCTAGCAGTTTAAAATACTGGGAATTTAGACGCCTAATCAAGGAATTCTTGACATGGTATTATCACCAATAGATATAATTGCTGATTAAAATAATACATCTCGATCATCTTGAGTAACAGTAATTTACTGTTTAAACTTGTTTCATATGAAAATATGCTTTTACATTAATTTAATTATAATTTAAAATCTAAATTGTTTTCATCTCATACAGAAATTTGAATATGTTTCTTCAGCATGGATCATATCATCTCGCATTTGATGGTTGTTGAATCATATCGTAATAAAATAACAATAATGGGCTGCCAACTGTAACTGCTTAATTTCAAATTAATTCATACCACGGAGTGGTTCACTTCATCGTCTTACCTCCGCAAGAGTGGTTTCTCAAAATGCTATCCGCCTAACTATAATTCGCTCAAATCGGTATCATGCTGCACACTTTGGGACATATGGGCCGAAGTACCCAAATTTAAGGGTCAAGTTTATATGACCTTTTAATTCTTCAGCAATATGTCTACTACATCGCAAGAGAAGGGAATGATTTCCACTTTTGGTGACCTTTATGCCTTGGCGTATGGGATAAAACTGGGGAAAAAGGCTTGGCTTGTTTAAACTGTTATTGATCTTTCATTTTGATATCCTGTCCATGATAAATCTGCATTTTTTCTTTCACCACTGGCTTTTAAATGGGTGAATTCTAATTAAATGTATACTGGTAGATTTGTTTTTATCCAGAGTTTAACCTAGACAATATAATGAACAATAATATAATGCATAGTGTACAGAATATTTGATCCCCAATTATTCATCACCCACTAACCTATCTTCTGTTACTGTACAAATGGCATTGTAAATTATCAAAACTCTTATACTGAGCATAATAGGGACCTGGATATCACTACAAAAATTCAACAGAAATGAATAATGTATTATATTAAATTCAGTACGAAACTTCCACAATTGAAATAGAATTTCTGGCCAGGTGAACAAATGTTTATTCATATTTTTAAAATATAAGATTATGCCACTTCAAATAATAGTGGTATCATTGTCATTTAATGTATTAGAATGACATCAAAATTATACACTTTGTAGCTAAAAAGCTGAATTGCAGATATTAAACCTATTTAAAATTATATATTTTAATAATTAAAAACATTAAAATATAAAAGGAAAGAAATCATTTGAACTACTAGCATTTCTGAATGTGATGCTAGTTACAGCGAACCTTTGGTTATTATTTTGTACATTTTGTGATAATTATTGATAAGATGCATGAAAATGACTATCAAACTGGATATTAAAAAAAACAAAAACAATTAAACACACATTGTAGTGTCCAATAAAATAATTAACCTGAGGGCGAGGTAGTAGCTAAAGAAACTTATGACATGTGTGGCTTGTGTGAATCTAATTTGCATAAAGCAACCCTTACAAAAATTATTAAACCTCAGAGATTCTAATTACACCTGCTATTTCAGATGATGCCCGCATCGATGTAGCATGCAACAGAGTAGCATTAACATGAAATTTGTTAATGTATTTCTGATATTTATCTGTTTAATTAATAAGATGTTAATGATAATATTACTTCTTATTCATCATGTTTATTAATAATGATTTTGAGTTTTTCTTGCAGTATAAAGATTCAAAAACTTTTATTGGTCTATATGTAAATTACAGAGTCAAGAAAATTAGTGCCGTTGGCTCTTATTTAGATGTAGCAGTGAGCTGGTGCTTATTCTATAATGAGAGTTGTAAGTGTAAATTACAAGCATTTATCATCCAAATTCAATAGGCATATCTAACGTTACTACATTACGAGATGGAATGTTGTTTGTGATGAAAATGAAGACAGTATTATTTATTACATAGAATAAGTAGTTTGGCATTGTGAGAGTTAAGCATGGGAAGGAGGCTAAAACTAATATCTAATCTTATCAATATCATCTTCTTAAATTATTGTCTCTAATAGTAAAGAATATATTATTAATCATTTTCAAGTTTTCAGTGGATACTTAATTTTAAAATATTGATTATTCCGGGATAAACTTAACTGCATGTATAATTATTACCATGGCAACAGGCTGTATATTAATGGCAGATTATCCATCCAGCTGTATTGTAATTTATATAATATTCAGTCCTTGATGAGTTTATGCAATTATCTGTCAGAAGTGCAATCAACTTCCAAGAAGACTCCGGAGTGCTGATTTAATATTTTTCTTTTCTACAGAATCTGATTTTCTGAGCTGATCCCGATATCTTATTTATTAAAATAAAAAATGAGTGAATGTGCTCAGCCTTGCAAATAAATCAAGTTACATCTAACAAATATTGCATAAGTGTGGTTCAAAAGTAACTCTAAAATTTAAGTTTGAACATAATGCTAGAATCGGATTACCGATACCTAATTGTGTTTAAGGATTTTTATTCTCCTTGTCTATTAACCCTTTGATATAAACATGATATATCAGGCTACACCGTACTAATCTACATCATGTAAGTCTGATTTATCGGCTACCGGAGGTTAACAGGTTATAATATTATTTCAATCCCCTGTTTGAAGGCGATTTACTGGCCAATCAGCTAAAAAATGGAAAGTATGCATGATCAAGAATAATTTCAATTGCAAGACTATACATCAAATACATATTTTTATGCCTGTACTGGTGATAGTTTACAAAGTGCTTTCACATTACAGTTATAATATTATGGTCAATTATTTGACCAAATTTCCCGTAAAAAGATGAAGCGAACTTGTACTATTAGATTTAGATAAATTAGGATTTCTTTTAGTGGTAATTATCATATAAGATCATCATTTGGTTTGGCCATATCCACAGCCAGTCAACGACTCCATGTTGTAAGACGGAGATTTCCATGGGTTAGTTCCATGAGATGAGCTAGTTAATTGAAGGCGCAGAGGCGTTAAATCAAGGCTAATCGAACAAATTACATTATCTATTCAAAAATAATAATTTTTTTAAATAATCAAAATCCTGTTATGCATATCAGCTACAGTACATTAAATAGACCTTGTATGTAGATATATGAATATAAGGGCGCAAAGAGTGGGGAGGGGGTAGGGGAGGGGTGAATTAACAAGAGGTTTAGATATTTTAGACAGTTTTAATCAAAAATATAATATATAAATTTATACATATGTTATAACCTGTTACAAAATGTTAAGTTTGGAGGAAAAGGAAATGGCAGCGAAAAAGGGATAGGGAGAGGTAAAGAGGTATGCAGAGAGAAGGGCATAGGCAGAGAGAAAAGGCTACGCAGAGGGAAAGGGATAGCCAGATGGAAAGGGATAGACAAAGGAAAACAGGTAGGCAGAGGAAATGGGGTAGGCAGAGAGACTGGGGTGGTGTGAATACAGTCCATGCCCGCAAACTGTATATGCACAAGGCCTGTTAAGTTAACAATTATCATAATTATTTACTCATTGAAATTATTACTTATTAGATAATTTTACTCCCTAAAAAATAAAAATCATTATCTTTTATCATGATGATCATGAAATTTATCTAATAATCAATGTTAATCAATTATGATTATTTCATAGCAACATCATGATACATGTTCGTTAACTTCATGAATAATGCATACTGGATATGAACTATTCATGAAGTATTTAAGCTAAGATAAAAATCCTGTCACTATATATGTGTATGTGACTTTTAAGAGATAAAAATAACCTCTTGAACTATTAAAATCTAGTTTACAATTTTCTAGGTAAAGTCCCGAGTGAATACTTTAAATCCTTTCTCATAAATAATGAGTATCAATTAGAAAACGCAATAATGATGCCAGAAAAAATTTAAATCTTTAATAATGAATTATACACAGCACAATCAAGTACTTTTAACCACGTACAGCTACTGTATAACATGTTTTGCCAATTTAACCAATGAGAGATTATAGTGTATTGTTTCTTTAAAAAAAAAAAAAAAAAAAAAAAAAAATATGATAAAAGGGGATAATGTTTAAATAAAAAAGAAATTAACAAAAATATAGAAGGAATAGGATAATAGACAAGGACAGAGAATGAGTAAAAACAAAGAAGCAAAAAGTAGACGGACGGAAAGAAGGAAGAAGGAAAAAGATGAAAATACCCAAGCCAGAGAGGGCAGAAAAGAGGAAATAGGATGGATAAACAAGAAAAAGGAAAAAAGGAAAAGAGCTATGAGAAAAGAGGATAAATAGAAAAATGCAAAAAAAGGAGTTGAATATGAAAGAGAAAGGAAGAAAAAATAGAAAAAGAGAAAACTGCAGAGTAAGGGGAAAGATCTAGAGAAAAGAGAAAAAAAAATAGAAAGATACAAGAAAGGAGACAACAGATGAAAGAGTAAGGATGAAAAAATAGGAAAAGAGAAAAGTGTAGAGTAAGGGTAATGATCTACAGAAAAAAAAATAAAATGGAAGAAGCAAGAAAGCAGACAATAGATGAAAGAGAAAGGGGAAAAATAGGAAAAGCAAAAATTATAGAAGGTAAGGGGCAAGAAAAGAGATGGGGGCGAGAAGCAAGGAAAAAGAAAGGAAAGGAAAAACCAAACAAGTACAATCCTAACAAGAAACATGCCTCATCTTTAAAAACATACAGCCAGATGTTATTTTATGTTCTTGCCAGTTAATGTTGCCTTGGGGACATATGTTTTACTATATTTTTAGTCGTTCCTTCCAGAGAGACCAACAAGATACACATTCCCAGGTAAGCTTTCTAGTCCACAGACTGTAAATCAAACTCACCGAGATGTGGTTGTATATTAGTTGCGTCCATCCGTGCAAGTCTAATAGTCGGTAGAGAGATGCAAGTTTGCACCGCTGAAGCTTCTCTCCTTTTGTGTAGTTGTGGGCATCTACACCTCTTATATCAGCCACTGGAATCACATGATGACTGTATGAACCTATAAATGAACAACATAACATTTATACCGAAAATTTAGAAATACTGTACTATAAAGGTTTAAAGTTTCGTCCACACTATCAAATTTCATGTGACAAATTTGAGAGATGTGCCCATATATAGACATGATGATATCTTATTTCACCCAAATATGGGCATATCACATTTTTGTCACATAAAATTTGAGTGTGGACAGACCTTAAAGTCTTGGAACCCTAACACATTCATTTGCAACACTGAACTGCTCATACAAAAGATAATTTAATTTACCAACTTCCAATGAGGTATACAGGATCAAAATATATTCTTGATTTCCAAACTTTTTACTACAAAAATCCTTAAATTGATAACCAACCAATTTACTGTACATGTATTGGAACAGTGCTTTTATTATGCATAACTTGTACATTGGATATCTTTCATTTAAATTTTTAAATAAAGAATATAAAATGCAGAGCAAAACATTATTATTAATATTATTTAAAAATCAATTATTTAATTTAAATACTTTTCAAGGTTGTTAGGAGTTTGACATGCTTTTAAAAGACAAGATAAAAAAAATGAAATATGAATTTGTGAAAACAAAACAATAATAATAGAACCAAGACACGTTTTTGATTTGTATGTAGTTAGAACTAGGGTTTGTTTCTTCCTAGAACGTAAAGGCTATAAATATGTCGGTCAACCACTGACTCGTAATGTACACTACACAATGATGGATTCAGCCGCATACACAAGCATTTTCAGGACTTGATTGCTTTCAGTCACTGTACTTGATCAAATTTAGCCAATAGAAATAACAAACGACAACCAAATAAAGTGCCTAGAACAACATAAGTTGCTTCTCGCATTACGCATTTGGAAAAACAAAACTTATTAATTTCAAATGACAAAATCCAACTTGGACAATACACTGTGATTAGTTAAAGTGTATTATTTTATTGGCTACGAACGATAAGACTCCATTAGGGTATAGCGATGAGGACAGGAAGTTAGTTGGAATAGGGAAAATATGGTTAGGGGAACAGGTTTCCACTGGGTGTAATTTGGATTTTGGGATATTAAGAAACAATAATAGTGAACTAGAGAAAAGGTTAGTTTATATGCTGCCATAGACTGGGATGTGGTAGATTGATCAAGAGAGTAATTATGTATATTGTTCAATAAAAGTAATGAAATACATTAAACTGATAGATTCTGTAATCATTTTTTGTACACAGGTCTTTATGAAGCATGGTAATCTATTTTTATGTGGGAGAGGTCAAATAATAGTTCCTGTCTGCTACTATATTTCTTGGCTATGATGATGCATCTTTTTACAAATAAGTAAAATTAAACAATAACTATATGATTCATATAATTAATAGCACACATTTCCACTGTAGAAAATGCTCAAAAATTCCTAGTTCATGTGGAAAAAAGATCTTGAATTAAGAGGTGTGACCAATAGTATTAGTAGTGGGGTAATCACACACTGCTGGTAGATTGGGCTGATGATAAGATGTGTAATAATAGTGGATACCTAGGGATTTGCAATACACCAAGGTTCATCATACCAAAGTCGCTTGAAGCATGAAGGTATAATCTACCTAAATGCTTGAAGCAAGGGATTAAGACTCTAATCTAACAACTACACTAGCGATTTATACACCATTTGAAGGGAGTCATTCTAGTGTTTTAGCATCAAGATTGCAAGACAAATACAAGGTCATTGCAACTATTTTATCAAACAAGAACACAGTAAAAATTGGGTTTGCAAAAAGCAAGGCCAAAAACAAAGTTCTGAGTTGGGGGTAGAATTTGATTTCCAGATTCAAGCTTTCCTTTTTTTAAAGTCCAAGGTATAATTTCAATCAAATGCAGCTCCACATCCTCCTACAACAGCAGGCTTACACCTAAGTTAAGAATCCAGGCATGGTATTCCATTCCATCATACTGCAAATAAATCTGATCATGAGTCCACACCACCTACGCCTACAGTATCAGGGAGCTGCTATCACCACCATTAGTTAAGCAGCAATAAACTTTTATTTAAAAAAAATGGCAGCTTCTCAGTGCTTTTATTATGCATAACTTGTACATTGGATATCTTTCATTTAAATTTTTAAATAAAGAATATAAAATGCAGAGCAAAACATTATTATTAATATTATTTAAAAATCAATTATTTAATTTAAATACTTTTCAAGGTTATTAGGAGTTTGACATGTTTTTAAAAGACAAGATAAAAAAAATGAAATATGAATTTGTAAAAACAAAACAATAATAATAGAACCAAGACGTGTTTTTGATTTGTATGTAGTTAGAACTAGGGTTTGTTTCTTCCTAGAACGTAAAGGCTATAAATATGTCGGTCAACCACTGACTCGTAATGTACACTACACAATGATGGATTCAGCGCATACACAAGCATTTTCAGGACTTGATTGCTTTCAGTCACTGTACTTGATCAAATTTAGCCAATAGAAATAACAAACGACAACCAAATAAAGTGCCTAGAACAACATAAGTTGCTTCTCGCATTACGCATTTGGAAAAACAAAACTTATTAATTTCAAATGACAAAATCCAACTTGGACAATACACTGTGATTAGTTAAAGTGTATTATTTTATTGGCTACGAACGATAAGACTCCATTAGGGTATAGCGATGAGGACAGGAAGTTAGTTGGACTAGGGAAAATATGGTATGGGGAACAGGTTTCCACTGGGTGTAATTTGGATTTTGGGATATTAAGAAACAATAATAGTGAACTTGAGAAAAGGTTATGCTGTTGTTTTGAGTTGGGGGTAGAATTTGATTTCCAGATTCAAGCTTTCCTTTTTTTAAAGTCCAAGGTATAATTTCAATCAAATGCAGCTCCACATCCTCCTACAACAGCAGGCTTATACCTAAGTTAAGAATCCAGGCATGGTATTCCATTCCATCATACTGCAAATAAATCTGATCATGAGTCCACATCACCTACGCCTACAGTATCAGGGAGCTGCTATCACCACCATTAGTTGAGCAGCAATAAACTTTTATTTCAAAAAAATGGCAGCTTCCATTTATGGTTGAACGCATTATTTCTCCAACCAATTGCATTTCCATACATTTCTCACTGAAGAATCACCTTTATCTTTCCTATATTTATAGGTATGTTATTATAAATCAACGATTCAGTGGTGGGCTATTCGTAGATGTTTGCGGGAAGGTAACGATACACACCAGAACACCATGTTCAAGATATGTACGTATAAAAAAGATTGTAATATTAGCGAGCGTAAGCAAAACTAGTGAGACAGACAGACATTGTGTTTAAAAAGAGCTGAATTAAGCAATTTCCACAATGTTTTTTTCATAACTTATGGCAAAGACAAGCCAAACGAGTTACTCGTTGCAAATCCTGTTTCAGAGATAATGGCCACAACATGCTGGAATGTCAACATTTTTGAAATCTATTTTATTATACTAAACTAAACTTTATATATCTATTTGTCATGTAATGCTGTTTTTGTTCCTCATTTGTAATGTTAAAACAACAATTTTAACGATTTGGGGTTGGTTTCTGCCTGAGAAATGCTCAAAATCATAAACTTCATAACGAATGTTGGATTTAAATGATTCATTTACCATTTTATAACTCTCATTTCACTGTTTAACCCTGTACTAATAACTAAAAGTCGATTTTTGTGACGAGTGACTGGTTTGGCCTGTCTGCCACATTTAATTGTCAGGTACTACATATAAGCTTGCCCCAATTTGCAGTGAATTTCACAGCCAGCTTTAATTGTACATAGCAGTGTTCGTCCCTGAATGTAAACATTGAATATTGATAACATAGTAAGCAAAGACGAATAAATTATATTAAAAAAAAGGGCATGTTTAAATGTGAACTTTGTTCTTATTTACAGTTAACAAATTCGGAAATAGAAGTTTAGGGCATAGACACTGTGCATTCTGTGTTTAGTGTTTATTTTGGGTTGAATCTAAATTAAAATGAAAGTAAGATAAAAACCATACATTAGGAAATGACTTTAAACCAAGCTTTTGCTTAAATCTATAAACTAAGTAATGGTCTTTCAAAATATAAACAAATTATAGTAAAAAAGAAAAATTACAAAAATAAAAAACAAAAGGTAAAAAAACAATGATCACTCACTTTCTAAAAACTAAGTATTTTATCAATTAAACTGAAAATTAGTAATCCATGCAAAATTTGCAATTTCAAAAGAAAACTTAACCAACCAAGCACCACAGAGTCATTATTGTTAATATTATCTATGCATATTCACAACTCGAGTACTTATTTTATCTCAAATGTCAAATATTCAAACACAAATGCAACATTTTTCCATCATACTGTACATCACGTCTATGGTATTGGATATATGTATTTATTGTAACCGTATAAATCATATCATGGCTTGCTTTATGACAATATCTGAATCATAAGAAAGAAATTCTGAATTGATTGCACTCATCAATCAGAGATACGATGGTGACCACCTTAATATAATTCCATGTATGTTACTATGGTAACATGTGTTGTCCTTATAATGTATGTTGCTGAGGAATGAATATTGCCCTGGTAATATATTTTGCTATACTATATAAGTATTTTTAATTAAGCTTATTTATGTTTACAAAGTAATTTTTGATGTTTAGTGTCACCCTTTTTGTCTTTCTCAATCAATTTTTATCTGTATTCCTTTGTGCAATATTCGATGTTACTAAAAATATAATTTGAGAGTAATTTTTAAGAATAATTCATAAATTAAATTAATAATTAGATTAAATAATAATAATAATAACAATAATAATAATAATAATATATTAATTAAATTATCTCAATGCTTTTATTTTCTCTATTGATATTTATTAATATTGCTTCTTTTTCTAGTTCTGTTTTATATTTTGTATATTCCAATCACTACTATTGTTTTATGATTGCAATAAAGATTTATTGATTTGCTAAGGAAAGTATGTTGAACTAGTAATGCATATTGCTGTGGGAAGTATTTTGTCCAGGTAATGATTGTTGCTCTTGTAATATATGATATTGCAATGCTGTGGGAATGTATACTAACCTTGTAATATATAATGCTATAGGAATTAACATTGCCCTGGTAATGTATGTTGCTATGGTAATGTATATTGCTATGGTAATGTATGTTGCTATCGTAATGTATGTTGCCCAGGTATAGTAATATTTGTAATGAATGTTACCCACATAATATATGTTGCTATATGAATGTTTGCTAACCATGTAATGTATTGTAGGAATGAATGTTGCCCTGGTAATGTATGTTGCTATGGTAATGTATGCTACCTTGGAAATGTATGCTGCTGAGGTATTGAATGTTGCTTTGGGAATGTATGCTACCCTTGTAATGTATGTTGCAGGAATGAACGTTTCACTGGTAATGTATATTGCTATGCTAATGTATGTTGCCTTGGCAATGTTTGTTGGCCTGGTAATATATGTTGCTGTTGTGATGTATGTTGGCCTGGTAATGTATGTTGCTGTTGTGATGTATGTTGGCCTGGTAATGTATGTTGCTGTGGTAATGGTTGTTACCCTTGTAACATAATATGTTGCTATGGGAATGTATGCTAACCTTGTAATGTATACTGTTGCAGGAATAAATGTTGTCCAGGTATATTACTATGGAAATGTATGTTACCCTGGTAATGTATGCTGCTGCAGGAATTGAACATCTTTAATGATTTTTGCATTGTAATGGTTTAATATTTGTATGTTTTTGAGATGCAAATAAATCAAATTATAATCAAATACATAAAAATCCTTCATGTTATTATTTAATTTAACGATAATGGCTAAAGTTACATTTAATTGTTGTAAATGTTGTACGATAGCTTGTTCTTATTATAACTAGTTTACAATTTTCATGCCTGTTTCAACAAGAATTTACTTGTATTTGAATGTGCCAATAAAGACTATTTATATTTGCTAGGTTTTTTTCCAAGGACTGCCAATTAACAGCAGGACAATAGATGTGTATTTTATGTTCCTGGCATTTTAGAATCACAAGGCTGTGTACAGCACATCCTAAAAGAAAGGTAAAACCATTGTAACATAACACAATAGTATGCTGGGTGTCCAAACTAAAGTAACCATGCATCTTCAAACTAAGTAACAAAAGACACATTTTGGAGAAACATGTGAAGATTAATACTGAATTGTAGCCTCAATAAGTGAGCTAAATCCAGGAAAATTCCTAATGAGCTTCAAGCCATACATTGTTCCCTGACAATGGGATTGACTAACTACTAGCTTGTATACTATTTTCGTACTCAACCCTCGTTAGAATGAAGTGCAAACATTTAAGCACATAATGGATGACCTTCGCCAGACGCAGTAGCTTGAGTTACATTATGACTTAAATTGCAATGTGTAATTATGTTGTTTTCTAATAAGGATGCCTGCAGAATTACAAGATGTGAGATGACTGCAAATAATATGTTTTCATCCAGGGACCTCCACACACGAATAAGCAACTCCAATCCAAATGATCAATTAATTAAAATAGCCGTTGAACTGTAAATTTATCTCAAGATTCACCATAACTAGTATTCTTATTAATTAATCCTATAATTGTTATAGTAATATAGTAAGGAATTAAAAAGGACCAGGTTTTAAAATAAATGTTATGCCACAAGGAATATTAATGCATTACATCATAGGCCTACTATTCACTATAATTAGTATTCTTATTAATCCGATAAATTGTGTTAATTATATTGTATTATTATATAAGAATTTAATAAAGACCAGTTTAGAATAAATTTATTTAATAAATTTATTAATTACATTCATGGCACGAGGAACATTAATGCATAACATTAAACAATTAAACAAGGACCTATTATATAGGCCTACTACTGTATTGTTTTAATCAATTATTGTTGACTAAAGTCAAACTATGAATGCTAATAAATCCTTGAAACCTAATGAAGAAAGTTTAGTGACTGTCGCTATGATCTGATAGATACTGTACACTCATGAACATCTCAAGTGACTATAAAGCAACAAGCACTAATGTTATGGACAATATCCCCTAGGCAAAATACTCCACCAATTTGTTGTACCCATGCATGACTCATGTTACAACTTGACCTGACCAGGGCAATAATATGGTATGATGTCATCAACAAATTATGCCAACTACAAACATGGCCATTCTATAAATAAACATGTTTTATTAATAGTGAACAGGATTAAATAAATAAAAACAAGAATTAGGCCTGTCAGGAAAAATTTGGTCCGGTCCGTAGTCCACATAAGCCAAAATCAGTCCGGCGTCTATTTAGTGGTTATAACTTGTATTTTTATAACGTTGTTCATATTTTATTTAATCAAATGATAGATGAATTCTTATCTTTCATTATATATTATTGTTTTCTTTCATCTTGTGTGAAATCATAGGTGAAATTTAGTAAAGCTTCGCACCCAGTAAACCCTTTAGTGTAAAAGTATGAAAAGAAGTTAAACGATGTCATCTTAAATCGTGTTGGTCCGCTTTAGTTTATTTTTTTACCTTTTTTTGTTTTGATTGTGTGTGCTCAACTTAACGCTGCGACGAAGTACATGCATTCAATTCGAAGAATTCTGACCCCTTTATTTCATATATATTAGAATATGTATTGTAATATCCCACAAATAATCCGGAATATAATGACTAATAAATGACTAATAAATCAGTCTTGTGTTTCATTTTAGGCCAAAACCCAGGCCAACCACGGCTGCCGAAAATGATGCATGCTGAGTGTATCGATCGCCTAGGCCTAGGAAATGCATTATCAGGTGGGTTTGATAAGACACGTCCTCAAAAGCTTAATACTAATCATTCTGTCACTGCCAAAGACTTTGAAAATGTGGGAGAAACATAAATTACTTTCCTCCATTCCACGAGAGAAACAATCATACCCTACGAGCAGCAGACGAGTTACAAATGAAGTGGACCAATTTTAGTAGTCCGACGGACCGAATTTTGCCCGGACCAATTTTGGCGTGACAGGCCCTATAAAAAAAATTTCAATTCATTTTAGATAAGACAACAGCAAAAAAACAACCCCACAAATTACATATAACTTCAAAATTAAGGACAGTTCATTCTTTTATCAAATCTTAAGTCATGAGTTTATTAGACCAAATGAAAATGGCTATAACTTGGTGGGTAAGATGTTCATACAAGGGTCTTGGGTTCAAATCCTTGGACATCAGTTTTAGGACCCAAAACACAACTCAACTCCCAAAGCCTCATGAATTATAAAAATACATCCTTCAGATTTTTTTGAAAAGAAAATGAGGCTGTCTATTGCCTAATGTCTGTTTGGATTCCTACAGGATTATATGGCTGTTTCAGCATGTGAAAGTAAACAAAAAAAAAAAGGATTCAACTAATAGTAGGTTATAGTAAACCTTTAAAATTTAATCAACCTACCATAAGTAAAATAATAGAATGCTAAGACAAATGTTGATCACATTTTCTTCATTTCTTATCTTTTTTTTTTTGCTGGTATCTTATCAGGCTGACTTTTAGGTATTTTTTATGATCTCTTGGCCACCTCATCACTTTACTGACAACTTGCTGTATCCATTACTGTTATATTAGACCTAAATTACTATTCCCGAAAGGATCAGTAATGGTACAAACTAAATCCATTAACAACCACCCACATAATGCAATTCAGACCAAGAATTTTTATTTAATCAGGTAGAAAAAAAAATACAAAGAACAAATGGTAGGTCAACAAGTGTGGCTGCAGAAATTTCCTGACAAGCTCCAACAAAATCTGATAAGGTTTCAACGTCTGTTAGCTCTTATTGCAAGCGGAATACACTACAGGGAGATGGAAAAACTGCATTACCATCCATGCCCCTGTTGGTAGCTGCTAACAGTAGCTCCTTTATGTATTCATAACATGGCCTACACCCTTATTATTGGTTCCTATGCTGTGTAAAGCATCATTGCGTCAGTGTGTCTGAACACCGACGTCATCAATTTTGTCTAAAGTCTGTAAACAAGCCAACTTGAATTTCCAAAAACTTGTTGGTTATTGGATTGGATTGGATTTATGGTGGTGATTGGGCAGTGCACCGGGAGACAATCCCCTATTTGGATAAAAATTTAAGCAATACACAAGAACTTTACTCCTCTCCATCTAAGACTCGGTATAACCTAGGGTTATATAGTACAGTGGATTATTGAATGACTATTGGATAGAAATCAGACCTTGCCTGACCTATTCAAATGATAATTGGACTCTAGGGAATACACCAAAAATGCAACTACTATCGCTTTAGATTGGAGGACATTAAAAATTCCCCAATAGTTCTACGTGAATTAAGAATTAAAAAAACATATTTTGAGCTTAAAAAAGTCCTGGATCCATTTCGTTTGTTTCCTTATTCTATTTACATCATTACAAATAGTGTATTATAGTTTACCGAAAGGGCTGCATAGGAACACCAGCCCTCACAGAAGTCTGACTATTAGAACAGATAGTTCTAAAAGTCAGAAATGTAAACTAGCAGTAGCTTGGCAGGGTTCCCCCAGATGAGAATGCTTCACCAATAATGTGTCATTTAAAAGACCTACCTGCTCCTGCTCTTGATCCAGATGACTGGTTAAAACGTGAATGCGGCAGGATTAGATCTGTTATCTGTTGTAGCGCTAACAAGCTTGCTGGATGTGGGCCAGTCTGATAAAAGAAAAAGTCAGTTTTTATAACAAAAAAATATATCGATAATTCAAATAAAATGAAGATACTGTATGAGGATCAAGCTGAATGAACTCATCCATCAATCTTATCACTAAAAACAATTTACAAAGTGAATATGAATTCAATATATAAAATATGAGATAACAGTTGTAAATACAAAAAGAAAGGTAATACTCATACCAGAAAATAGAAACAAAAACAAAATTCTCTAATATAAAATGTCATATAAAGAATACAGACAATTTGTGATAGAGAAAATAATGTAATTTAAAATCTCTTCTTCCACATAAAAAAAAAGAAATTCCACAAATTATTTCTAAAGTTTTCATTTAAACTTCTTGATCTCCTTTCTTCAGTTTATCCACCTTATATACAGAGAACAGAATTAAGAAAATAAAATTCATTTAGTTATAAATATAACATTTTTAAAAACATTTCCTCAATCTTTACAAATTGGAATAATCCGATAGTGTCATAACAAGCTCTAAAATGTAGGATGAAAAACGACATAATATAAAAAATGAGAAGTTACATTCTTTAGATTTACTGTCTAGGTCATATGACTGAAACAATCTATAAGTTGAGCAAATGAATGAACTTTAACCAGTTAACGAAAAACATCTCATAAATCAATGTATTAATATTATGACAATTCATCTTTTTGCATGCTATAAACGATACAGATAAACTACAGTATGTGCTACTAGTAGTGCAAATATTACATGTTATCAAATTCTTTATCATATTCATTTTGCAAGCCATCCTTTAGGAATCTGTAAATCTATGTACTACTATTATAATATCACATAATCCTTCAGTCTATTTCAGGCAAGATGAATGGCAGGGTCGCTTGTAGTCTCCAGCAATAATACCGACGATGGTCCGAATGGTTCTAGTGATTTAACAAGTCTTCTCAGATATTAGGACTATAAACCATAGGCCCAGTGTGCACAATTAGCTAATGTGCACTTTAAAGAACCCAGAACGTCTTTCGAGATGAGTAGGAGGTTACCCTGGTGTACTGGTTCATACATTCCCCTGTTGCCTTGTGGTTATGAATCCTAATCCTACCAGTGTGAACCCCTATGCTGGGGTTGTTGGATAGTCAGTAATTAGATAAAACTAGAGCAGTCACTCCATAGAGTGTATACCTCCACTCTGAGCCTGAATAACAATACACAGGCCGTGTATATTGGGTAAAACTGCAGCATACCCTCAATGTATTAATGGACAAAAATTGCTACAAATTACATGAACACATGCTGGTAAATGATCGATTGCAATTATGATGATTATAATAATGAAAATGGAAGAAGGACATAATATTGTTAATAAAAGTCAATGAATAAAAAGGTACTAATAATAATCATTATGAACAAAACTAAAATAATAAATTTAAGAATAATCTATTATGAAGAATAATAATAATGGTAATGAGGAAAATCATAAAATAACATTAATATCATTGTGTTGAAAAATAAGCTTACAGTATAATCTAAGACTACAGTATCATACAAATATTTCTATAGAAAGAATGAATGATAACAGGATCTTGGCTACTCCGTATGGTTTTACATATTATGAAACATAGCAATACAGCCACTGTATTCTATTGATCTGTGCATAATAGAAGATTTTATGTGTCTCACTATCAAAATCCTCAGATCATAAGATAATACTGTATCAACAATATGGCTACACAGAAATGCCCATGATGTACAGCCAAACAATACAAACATTAAACTAACTAGCCGATGAATACACAAATATAACAAGAGTAGCAAAGTATAATATTTAAGACATGAACATAAAAAAGCAAACCAATTACATAAAGGGCTCATAGCCTTATGCAATAAAAATTTAAAAATTGCACAAAAACAGAGAAATTCAACAAAACTAATTTAAAAATATTTAAAATGATGTTCTGGGTGAAATGAAAAATAATGTGGTAAAATCGGGGAAACCCCTAATCTATTGCAACTAAAACAATTTCATAAAAGGATAAACATAAGTTATCTTCCAATAATACACATAAGAAAGGTTTCACTAGAACTAAAAAAATCCAATATTGAAAGTTTTACATTACACAGTATATCTTTAAAGTATAAAAAAATAGGTTAAGATAAACAAAAAAATAAATAAATAAATAAATAAAAGTGATGACAAAATGAATAAAAACATACCATAACAAAATTTTCCACCAAACTCTTAAACAAATATTGTATTTCAGATTTATATCTTTATCATGACTTCACAATTCAAGTCAAGAATTAAAACGAAATACTATTGAGTATTTATTACCATTTTGCATAAATGTTGATGCCGGTGGGGGTTTAATGGAATTTTGCTCTGAATTATAAGCACTGGAAGGTATCAAGGATATAAAACACATCCAGATTCTACTTCAGCATATGCTGTACATTATATACTTAAATATATTCTGTTGATCTATTTAGAATAATGCAAGCCAAAAGAACCATATTCATAAGACTTCTCTATTCACAATAAAAATGATTACTTACAATTAATTAGTCATTTAGTAAATATCTAAGTTAATCCCTAATATGAAAACAAATTTTCCTGAATGCATACAATTCTGAATAACATGGCTTTTTCAGGGCAATGGCTTTGGGTGTCCTTGTGTTTTCTTTTGCCAAGTAATTGTGTTAAGTTGGTATTAAGGATTGTGTAGGATCTCATCAGGCATGATGTGAGGTAATCTCCAATCCTATTCATTTGAAATCACTCATGAAATCAACTGTGGAAAAGGGCAGCTATTACTTTGTTTATTCACAACATACAATTACTCCACCTATAATATTTATATGGGTTTTGTTTATATGAGACAGAAGTAAGGTAAAGGCATTCATTTATATATTACCGTGCCAGCGTCATTATGCGCTCTCAGCAGACAAAACAGCTAACTAGCTACCGACGTACAGGGTCCCACGATGTCAGGTCCCATGATGTCGAGTCCAACCAGTAGGGCACAAATGGGCAGAGTGTGGCTCACAGGCCGCATGTGACCAGACAGCAATTTTTTTGCGGCCCGCGAAAATGAATTAAAAACCCTATGTGTGCAGCCCACCAAGCAACATTGGCTAGAAAACACTGATTTTTATGGCCCGACAAAGATCATATATAAAAAGTAATATTAAAACTGAGAATAAAGTGGTGTAAAAGCAGTGCTTGGAGGTTTTAGAAGCTCATGGAAACATCATGATCAAAGGTTAAGTGTGGCCCTCCGTGATTTAATTCTTTCTTAATTTTCCCCCGCCCCCTATCTCCCGGTAAAAACCAGCTCCTGGCCTTGTGAAGTGGATACAATGAGTCCGATCCAAGTTTCATTTTATTGCACAGATACAGATAATCAAATATTATCATGGAACATAAAGAAAAATGAGGCTAAGAGTTGTGCTCATACCTAAGGCCTCTACTCTCGACAAACATAATAAAGTTTAATTGAAAAAAATAAAATTTTTAAGGAATTTAAACTTGCTGGCACCATCCCCCCCCCCAATCTGCTATCCAATGCGCATTAATGAACCAGACACCATAAATTATGTTGAATTTAATGTACACATTAATGTAAACATTTGAATTCTGATGAATTTTAAAATGATAAACATTTAGTTTTACAGTAACTGTTTATTTGTGTTTTGAACATTTAAGATATAAGTAACTGTGAATAAACAGTAGGCCTACTTGAATATTACTCAGACAATTGAATTAGCTGATTAATTATTTGGCTAAATGATTGACTGATTAACTGACAGATTTTTTGACTGACAGATAAATACAATCATAGCATCACTGTCATCAAGCATGTTATTCTATTTCTATCTTTAGACTCTGTATAGTCATTAATTTTCACACTACATTACTTTTTTTTTTTAGCATTATGTAATCACTAAATTTACATAGAAATATTTATACGGAACTATAAACTAAATTGTTTATCATTAACAAACTCGAAATTTATGTAACCTTGGCAAATCCCTGAAATACCCATCAATCCTAGAATATTTCCCGAGGGATGACTGACATCCATTCAATATGGAATACGCCTCTATTCCATTGTTATTCCATTCATACTGAATGGGAAGCCCATAACCCAGACTACTCTATGTCCAATTATGTCCTACATAACAGCATGGGGCTATGTTAAACAGACAGGCCTACATACTCTAAGAGGGTATGCGTGAGAAGCATTTGTGATCATCTGTGTTAACACTACTCCTTGGCACAAGCATTTTAAGCCTCAAGAGATGTTCAGAACCCAAGTTTTGGCATTTGACATCATCTTTGGGTTTCAACCAAAAACGTAGCAAGTTCAGGTGCATTTTGAATTAATGTCTAAGAGAAGAATTGGTTGAATATTAACAAAACAAAATACATATTCTTTACAAGGTAAAGAAAATATATCATCTACACACACTAATATACCATTACCAGCAACAGTAAGTTCTAACAGTACTAATAGTATACTGTAGTATAACAACGAAGTTTTGAATTTATATCTGTGACAAACTAATACAATTTGAGAATGGTACCAGATACATAACTGGATGATAAGGAAAAAAAAAAAAAAATTGTTTGCCCTCCTCACTCGCCCCTAACTCAGTGGAAAAAATAGGGGCGGAAAAAAAAAAAAACTTAAAAAAATTTTTTTTTAGCTTTTTTACAAATATAAAACAATGTGAGTGAATTTATCTTTATTTTTTTTGTCTAAAGTTGTTCTCTAATGTTAGATATTACCCTTCTAGGCCTCTGTGGATTATTTTTATTTATTCCATCTGATGAGTATCTTAAAAAAAAAAACTTTTTTCACCCGCCCCATTTTATCATTAATAAAAAAAAAGGGCGGACAAACAATTTATTTTTTAGGCCTAATGATACTCATTATGTCAAAATGATGATTATGTTAATGAAAAGAATAGTGGAATTGTGAGAAAAGGAAAAAACAAGGTGTTTCCATA